CAACGTTTGATTTGAATGATTGATGTTGTATTTATAATTAATTATGTTTTGTTTTAGAGGACATTAATTTGTGTACTCTGAAATGGTGTGTTTATTTTAAAGATGATGGATAATATTATGATTATATTAGTGCATCATTACTAGTAGAATAATAACTAAAACTCGAAGTTAATACATTCAACAAACCAAAAACATATAGTAAACGTACAACAACAGTAATTAACTTAAGGGGATTGCAAAGGATACTTTTCTTTCTCCATTGTTATGTAGTCGTCCGTAATTCTTCTTTTATTTTCCATATGGTCCTTTTGCCTCCCAAGTTCTATCATTTCTGCATCCTTGTCAGCAAGCCATTTTTCAGACAGTTTGATATTCTTCTTAGTTTTTTTTATCCATTCCTCATGATCTTTGATTTTTTTAGTAATCGTCATCGTTTCCTCAACCTCTTTGCACTCCGCCGCAATGATGTCACGACGTTCAGTGAGAGCTCCAGATGAGTCTTTATCTTTTCTTTTTGTTGTTCTTCAGCCCATTGTAGTTGTTGCAAAGTATCCTCAGACATATACAGCTCTCTTAAATTTGGTGATTGGGAAAGAAAAGGGTCGATCAGATCACAATAGAAACAGTCAACGTCGTTTGTCTAGTCCGCAGAGCTTTTTTTTGTTGTTCTTCAGCCCATTGTAGAGCTTTTTGTCAGTCCGCATTAATGTTTGTCAGTCCGCAGAACTCTTTGTCAGTCCGCAGAGCTGTTTGTCTAGTCGTTGTCATCCATACATTACAATTATGGGAATACAATTATTTATTTAAAGGTAAACATTTTTTATTAAAAACTAAACAACGCTAACATACCATTACAACTACGGTTAACATAGAACTGAATACAAAATAATATTCGTTGTGATCCATACAATACAGTTCAATTGAATTGTCATGGAGGTAAGACCACAACACTTTCAACTGGTATTTCCCAATGCCTAAGGGTTGAAATAGAATTGACCGTCTCATTTTGATAACCATTTCGATACACCGCAGTACTTAACTTTAAATTTACCATTTGTTGGATTTCTACAATTTCAAGCCTTTGTAGTGAAGCTATAGCATGCTCACAAGGTATACCACATTTTTGCCATTTACCGCAACTACAAATACCACTGTCTAATTGGACAGATTCGGTTGTTGAATACTTACTCACTTCATATATGTCGCCAACAATATGCGTAATTCTACAACCATCCGAGTGGATAAATCTTTTATGAATCACCTTAAGTGCATAAGGGGTTAGAAGACCATGAAAATCCCCTGTGAAATGAACTGAATCAAAAAACAAAAATTATGATGTCATAACGTATAATAACATATCAATTGACCATTTGAGTGATTTCATAACTTATAATTACCTCCAAACGCAACACGTTGAAGATACACTGCTTGCATCGAGTCATGGACCATTTCAATGATTGTTGTTATTGGAAACTCATGCATGTTTGTTCTTAACCAATTGACAACAACGGGAATGTCAATGAATTTAACATTGAAACGTACTCTTGGAAAACAAGCCCGTACCCATTTTGCAATGGGAATATTGTCAAGCAAATGAAGATCATTCCCATTAACCTCATTTTTTAAGTTGTTCAAACATGCATAAAAATCAGACAAATTATACGCTTTACAAGTCTTCCAGAACAACTACTCTACGACTGTATTGCTTCCGGTGGAAGCGCGTATTTTCTCGGCTATATTTTTACAACAATAGCCATGATATGAATCAGGGTAGACTCTTTGAACTGCAAAGTCTATGGAATCAGACATATGGCTTATGAAACCAACTTCCGTATTGTCACCTAAACATTCTTTAGACCTCCTCATGAACCATAACCATGAATTGTCACAGTTTATGGTTCCCAAAGCAAACGCAATGAGAAAGGGTTCATGATTTCCATCTAAAGCAACCGCAATATACATGGATGTTACATACGCCCCAATTAGAGGTACCTGACCAACGAATATGATTGGTATCATAGACGTGAGAAACGTACGAATCTGCAAGTCAAGATAAGAATATTAACCATATAACTGCTTCAAATAAGTAAATATTTATTTACTTTAACGGATTACATATCACGCATCCCAATGCCACAAAACAAATTTGGAAACGATTGTACTGATCTTTCGTAATGTACGTGAAGGTGTTAGGATTGGTTCTTTGCAGATTATGGAAAAAAGTCGGTAGGTTGGAGAAAATGTTTCTTAATACCTGATTGACTGAACTCATTTTCACAACTTTCGACACCTTGTAAAAATGAAAATGCTTGTCCAATTTAAAAGGAATCAGTATATATTATTCCGCAGAACTTACTTGTCAGTCCGCGTAAATGACTTGTCAGTACGCGTAACTTATTTGTCAGTCCGCGTAACCTGTTTGTCAGAGCTGTTTGGCACTAGAGACGCACGGGACACAAGAGACGCACTGGACGAGTGGGACGCAGAGCTGTTTGTCAGTCCGCAGAGCTGTTTGTCAGTCCGCAGAACTGTTTGTCAGTCCGCAGAACTGTTTGTCACTCCGTAGAAATGTTTTTATGTTATTTGAATGTATGGTTTCGTAACATTTGTTGGTGAATTTTGTTTCAAAAAATAAACGATAAATACCATATTAGATATAAATAAAGCAATACAAGTACAATAGAAAACGCAGTACTAGTTAAAAAAACGGGACATTTTTCAAAAGATTCCAAGGGGCTTCATACTCGAAACTCTCTCCGTTGCTAATGGATTTGTATTCTTCTTTAGCCGCCTCCAAGATGTCTTCCTCAGTATCATTCACAGGACCGTCTTCAATCTTCTTATAAAGATCGTTGAATAACACAACTTCTGTTTTCAATTCATACCATTTTGCTGCTATATCAAGCGTGCTGCAATGGTTTTCTATGGTGGTTTCAGCGTCAGTGTTGAAGGTATTGGTTAATAGGACCCAAAACATTCTATCCTCCAAACTGCTGTTCTCATAGACATTAATATATGCACGAGGTAGAAGCAAATACTCGTTAGCGGTCCATGGTTTTGAACCCATTGTAAAACATACAAAATAGATGAACTAAAATAGATTAGATGAAGTGATACACAGTTTTTTGTCGTTTTATATAGACATGACAGTCCGCAAATATCCAACGATCATCCATGACAATATATACACCCTTCAACTCTGCAGAGAGCTGTTTGTTAGTCCGCGTTACTGACTTGTCAGTCCGCATAGCTGTTTGTCAGTCCGCATAGTTGTTTGTCTGTCCGCGTTACCTATCTTTTTATATATAGTAAAGCATGTATCTATACGTCCGAATTAGAGGTAAGGGATCATTTCACAAAATGAAATCCAATGTACCAACTTCTTCAAATGCAGCTAATCCGTCTAATGCGGCTGCTCCAACAAATGGTACATCTCCATGGACGACAACAGAGGTGTTGGTCCTAACACGATGTTGGATTATTATTTATGAAGGTCTACCGGTAATGGCTCCCCTTAATTGCCTTGTTGGTGATGAATGGTCCCACTTAGTATCTTTGTTCAACTATGAGGTGGGACAAGGACAAGAACGACTAAAACCCGATATTGTTAGTAAATGGATGGATTTAAAGACAAAAGTCACATGGTTCAATCGATGCTACAATTATGAGAAAATGCGATGCTCTGATGCTGACGATGATGAACTTCTTGAATATGTGAACGAATATTACCTGTGCTAGTTTGATGAAACTGATTTCGAGTATACAGACGTTTGGAATTTGGTTAAAAATAAACCCTTTTTCATGTAGACGACTCTTTTATTCGTAATGTTTTATGTAATGTTTGTTAGTTGTTCATCTTTTATTTGTAATGTTTTGTGTAATGTTATTATGTTATTTCTAATGTTTATTTTGTTTGAATGTATCGTAATATATGTTGGTGAATTATGTTTCAAAAAATATAGGATAAAACACATATTTATATTAAACAAAACTACTTATATAGTAGGGCCTATATAGTATCCCAAATATTTAATATTAATATATATAAAAAGTTCCTAATAGCAACTTATATAGTAGGGCCTATATAGTATCCCAAATAATATTTGTCATCTTATGCTTGTAGAGAAATCCCGCATCTCTACGTGCCGTAGAAATCTTCACTGGTACCCCCGAAACAATCATTTCCATAAACATGCATACAAATACTCCACAATCCCCTCTATCAAGACTATATTCTTATTGTGGCGCGTCTACAACATCAATAAACTCCACCTTTGCTTTGTCTTTGTGTCCAACGGGGAAATCGTTCTAGTACTCAATGGCATCTAACTCTGAGATAATACTATCTCCAAAACTTGTGAATTCTCCACCAGTTAAGTACGTTGAGAAGTAATCCATAGGTATTGCTGAATCATAAATATCTACTTTGCAGGTATCTAAATGTAGCACCGCCATAAACCAATGGGCACCAACAACATTTATTACGAATAGAACCTGCAAAAAAAATTAAATTAAATAGTCGTAATTTCAATAATATTATATATATATATATAATATATATATATATATATATATATATATATATATATATATAATATATATAAATTAATTATTATTAAACTTAACTAACCATATCCACATCCTTCCATTTAGGACGACCTCCAAGACCATTTGCTATATTCCTAAATAAAAATGATTTTCTGGGTTCCAAATTGATTTCTTGAGGAAATATCGTCCACCTTGTGTTCGCTGGCCGCCTTTCCATCAGCAAGGAACTCCAAATTGCAATATGCTGTACATTTTAAGATAAAAATGTTAGAATTATTTATATAAATTCTCGTCTAAAAAAGTAGTTAAAATTTTAATTAAACGAATGTTACCGAAGAAATTAACCATCCTTGGTGAGTAACAGCAAGTAACCTCGACCAAAAATCTATATCCAGTGGGAGCACATGTAGCCTATGTTTAGTGATGAGTTTGGAAGAGATCATACTCCATTCTTACCAAAAACTCATCGTGCTAGCAGCATAAATACTATCCAACAAGAGATGGTTTGAAACATCACTAGTCTCTGCATTGACAATGTCCTCATTTGCTTTTTCAGGGCTCTCCACTATTTTTTTCTTCCTTGTTTTGCTGATTTTCTTCAATTTTGGTGCCGATTGCATCTAAAAAATTAACATGTTAAATCATTATCAATAATGTAATATTTTATAAATATACCGAATTTAAGATATGAGTTTTGTACCACTGTGAACGGAGTCCGCTGATACCATGCAACAGCCCTCTTTCATTGCGGCCTACCAATAGGAGTCACTATTTTTGAGTGATGTTCCCCCACGTCCGATGACGACTCACCATGCGTAGGTGTACGCCCAACTTCTCCCTCGAGACCACCATATTCGAAATGTGTACCATGGTAATATGCTTATTCCCTCATCTTCATTATCATCTCCTCCTCCTCCTCCTCCTCCTCCTCCTCCTCCTCCTTCCTCTACAAAACGTGGGTTTTGGCTCATCTTTTTTTTGTAATACACGATCTACTTTAGAAGATAAGTCAGCCACAACGCCTAGTAGACGCTTCACTAATGCCTTTGTGCTAGTATTTTTCTTCTTTACCACATTTGTTGATGTGTCGCTTGACGTATAAGTTCTTTCTTGTTGGGTTTAAGTGTTGCGTCATGGGCTCGGTTGTTTAGTCCATTTAGTTTACCCGGTTTGGGCCTGTCCAACCGTGGATAATCATTAGGGTTAGCTTTTATATTTGCATGCATGTATTGTTTTAAGAGATATTTCTCATTAATACTTTGCATTCTAACCCCTAGCACACCTCTACAGTCGAAGTTCTTCATCGAGCTCTTCTGAGGTGTGAGTTATCAATCATTCGACACTAGTTGATCCATTCTTGTGTTATTTGATTACTTCATTCTTGTTTTTCTGTTTAGAATCTATCGATCTATAACTCAATATTCCCATCAATTGGTATCAGAGCAGGAGAATGTGTAATATACGCATCTCTTCTGTTTGAAGAATCATTAGGGGTTCCGCTTTTATTGAATATATAGAAGCCCGTCTTCATCTTGTTGACGGTGTATCTGTTGTTCGATAAAACCCTAGTTTCAACTTTACAAGTCTAATTCAAGCAGATTAAAAGAAGAAGTTTATCATCATGTCTCATGACGATTCTCAAGTCAATCCAATCAACATCTCCAAACATTATAGGATCCACTACGAGGGTTCCCATTCTCTACACTCAAAGATTATGAAGTATGGGCGCATCACTCACCGAAGATTATGTAGTTGGATCTAAAGACAATGGCTACTTGATCTGGGAAGCAATAACATTGGGTCCGTTTGTTCACTCTGGAACAAACCGAACGGTCAAGACTCAAAAGGAGTATAACCAACTCTTGACGGACGTAGATAAGATCCCTCAAGACGAAAAAGACAAAGTGTGTGCAACGTTAAAGCCATGAGAATGATAAGATTCCTTTGCAATCTGACACTTTCGTCTCGTAAGCTCATGCACAACAATAAAGAAATATGGGATAGGTTGAAAGAATTATATTCAACCGATGAAGATCTAGTGTGGTGACAAAGGAAGCGAAGGTAGTTTCGGGTGTGGGTTCGCTGGCCCTCGTCTCCAAAAGCAAGAGTGTAGCAAACGAAGAGGAGGAATCTGATCTATCAGAGTGTGATCTATCCAACGAAGAATATGCTATGATGGTCACAAACCCAAAGAAGTTTGCTCGCAGAAAGTTCCCGATCAACAAGAACCGAAACTGGCAGGGAAGCTATAGTTCTGAAAAGGTGAAAGAAGAACCGAAGATCACCTCTCAAAAGGACGATGAAAAGAAGGAGAATAAGCTTGTGGGAGAGTCAGGGTACGATTGCAACTACTGTCATGGAAAGAACCACTTTGCCAAGGATTGCATGCTAAGGAAGATAGCTGAGAAGAAGGATGGTGAAAATGACGAGACTTACTACATGAGAAAGCTGGAGGAGATAAAGAAGAAGAAAGCTACTAACGTTTCTATGAATGCTTTGATTGTGCAGGAAAACGTTATTGATGATGAGTTCGGTGGAGTGGAAGTCTGGTCCACAGATTCTGAGGATGAAGAGGTACGAAGACCCTCGCAGGGAAGAGCATTTGTGGCGAGAGAAGGAGTTGCTGAGTCGGCTGCGAGATGCTTAATGGTTACCCGAAAGTAAGCATGAGGAAACGAAGGTCATGGAAGACAGATGTTTCGCTGCCAAGCCCATGAGTGAAAAGATCTGCGATTGCGATCAATTGATCAAGAAGGTACAAACTATCCTAGAATCTCATAAAGTGCCAATAACAAACTATGAAAAAGATTTAAATGAATTAAAATTCATGTTTTCGAATTTAAGTGGAAGTCTTATGCAAACTCGCCTAGCTAATTCTAACCTAACTGACCAACTCAGCGGGGAGTCTTCCAAGAGTGAGGAGAGAAGGATGTGAATTCAGCAGAAGGAGTTAGAGTTAAGTAGGGCTAGGGATGAACTTATTTATTTGCAAAGAGACAATTTAAAATTTTTGAAACAAAGAAATGTTTTCTGTTTGATTGCTAAACGCTTATATACTAACATCACTCAGTTACATTTAGATTGTGAGATAGGAAAACAGATTCATAAAATGATTTTGCCTTTCCTTGAATTTAAGGAGGACGAAGTCATTGCTGAATGTGAATCTATAATATCCTCGGATGAAGTTTCTGTCACTTACAAATATGGACTGGACAAAATTGAATCTTTCATTGAGTCTAAAGAACATAATCTTTCATTGAGTCTAAAGAACATAAATGCATGCTTAAGAATTTATTGGACGAAAATGATAAATTAAAAATAAAGACCAAAACTATACAGAAGTTTGACTCATCCAACGCCAAAATTGAGTTTAGAAAATAAAATAAATTTGGAAACCACTTCTGAATTTGATGAGGAAAGTGAGATGAGTGAAATCTCTGTAGAAGATGAGGTCGACTGTTCAGAATTTCATAAGAGCGAACTCGAAGCAGCAAAACCACTCATAGCGGAAAATTCAGTTGAATACGCTCGAGTGTCAAAGGACAAATCCAAGAAACTCAAAGAAAAGGCTGTTGTTTATCAGAAAGTGCAAACGACAGCAAACCAAGTGTATGCAGTCACTGGAGTGACTAAGAAACAAGCAGCTGAGTTGACCTCCATGGTTGACAAGGATAATGCTGAAGGGTGTGATAACTTCTTCTGGTCAGCTCCCATCGATAATGCAGACGAAACAGTTGGTCTGTCAGAGCAAACCTCATGGAGAGTTAAGGGACAATACATACCCGAACCCCTCAACAAGCCCTCAAGCTTCGATAAACCCAACACAAGTGGTACAAAAGATATACCAGAGGAACCACTGAAAGCTACGAGCGATTCATCAACAACGACCGGTGCTCATGAGAAGAAAGCGAAACCTAAGGCCAACATTCACATGACTCATGAGCAACTGGCTGAACAGAAACGCCAGAGGAACAAAAGATACATGAAGAACCTCAATGAGAGTAAACAGTTTTGGCACTCACAAAACCCCTCTTATATTCGCTCTGAAAAAGCTTCTACTCTCAAAAAGGAAGCACAGGCCAAGTCTCTTTCTGGGCAATCAACATCAATCGCACCGTCAGGCGAACCGAACGACCCGTTTTGGCCCTAATACTTGAGGTCACGAGAACCAAAAGACAAGTTTTGGTCCCAGCTCCTACTACGCCAAAAACCAAAGATCCAGTTTCTGTCCCAACACAAGAGCTCAGAACCGAAATTCTAGTTTCAGTCCCAACACAAGAGCTCAGAACCGACAGTCAAGTTTCGGTCCTAAATCCCATCCTCCTCACTCACATCCTAAATCCAACTCTGTGAAGGATGTCAAATGAAAGGGAAAGTTGTACTTAGATTCTGAAGTCCAAAATACCAGAAAGGCAGCTAACTCTAGGACTCCAAAGAAAACCTCAGATGAGAAACCTGATGGGGTTTTTAGCATTCTAACACTTCCTAAGTGTACATGCAACCCTAATAACCTTGGATCTATGTTTGTCTAATAATCATGCAAAGTTGAATTCCAAGGTTATATTTCTATCTAGCATACATGGGGAACATTTTTAACTTGAATGAAAGATAGAATAACTTACCTTGTTGTTGATTATGATCCTTGAAACCTTGTGAGCCTAGCACCCCAAGTGTGATGCCTCAAATGCTTCACACAACACCAAATGCAAAGGAGTAAACTTTGAGAGAATCTTACACTTGAAAAATCGGCTCTAGCCCTCTTGTTTCTTAGTGTGTAGCCATTTTGGTGGAGAATGGGTTTCTTATATAGTGTTGACACATCTAGGGTTACACCATGTAAACCCTAATGTGTCATGACTCTTCATTTCCATGACCCATGGGTTTGTAACTCCCATGGAGCATCCATGGAGCATCCTATGGGTGGAACCCAACTTGATAATCCATGGAGCCTCTTAGCCCACTATATAAGATATGGAAGATTTACATAATCTACCCATATATTTAATTAGTTATCATTTGATCACTTAATTAATTCTAAATTAATTCTTGATCAAACTAATTAAATAATATTATTAATATATTAGAACTTATAATATATTAATAAACCATAAGTGTTATTTCTCTCATTTTAGTTTATCCAATTGCCTGGTGCCATGCAACCCAAATGGACCATGCCGGGTCGGGTCAAGTACATACCAGAAATAGTTATGGACTTAGACACCTTATCCAACAGTCTCCCACTTGGATAAGTCTAATAACTATAACTGCAATACTTCAGGAACCGATCGGCAATCGTAGCTCTTTCAAGGTCTCTCGGAACTGAGAAGATGATGATACGCCATTTAAGATAAGTGATCATATAATCCTCTGTTCTAGATATCAGCCGGACAAATACATGGAACAATGTCTTACTTATTGTCCAGCAGTTTGTTTCCCGATTTCCGATTTGTTTGACAAAGAACTTAATTGAACACATCAACTTAGTTCTGACCGGGCCCGGTACATAGGTCAAAACAAAATCATCGAGGGGCCCAGATATCAGCTTCTAATCCAAGAAGGAACAGATAAACTTCGACTCATATGTTTGTTCTACCACTCATTGAATTATACACAAAAGCACGTTTTATAACATCGAGTTACCAATGCGTTAACGTACAATCAATGCATAACCAATTCATAAGTAACAAATCATATCTCTAGGTTTGAAGACTTATATGATATTACCGTCTCACGATCACTCGAGATAAATTCCATGAAGTGATTCCAGTGAGCGTGGGTTGAGTCCAATGCTCAGAACTTATGAGCACTCATGAGTGTTGTAGCCATGTCCAACAACTTAGACCTCTGCAACC